CAGAGAACAGTCTAAGAAAACAGAGATAATCAGGCTGCCATAACCCGATTTGCGACATATTACTTGGCTGTGGCTCCATTAGGGAATCTGAAGGTGCAATAAAAAGATTGTTTACCAGTTAAGAGCGGTTAAATGACCGCCTCTCGAAGTCCAGTACCGGGCTAAAAGTGGACGGCATAATCTCAAATAAGAGGTTCTAGTCTCGATGTTCCAGTATCGTAGAGGCCACTGCCCCTTTAGTCACGGTGTTAAGAATGGTGGATGCTGACAAGAAAGCTACCATAAGCATCCTTTATGAAGGTATCGAGAGGGTTAAATCAGCTATTGGGGAGAAGTTTAGTTTTGCTAATAAAGTGATCGAGATTATAGAAAGAAGGTGGAACACCAAATTTGGACGTCCAATTCATTATGCAGGTAAATATATATTTATATTATTAGAATGTTTCATTCAAAATTAATTTTTTATGAAATTTTAAATGACATTTCTCTATCTAAATATTTTTTAGGTTACTACTTCAACTCAAAATTTTTATATTTGATACCTGAACATCTCCACAAGATTATGGAATGGGTACATTATTGCCAGGTTGGAGAGAAGCCATCGAAACCAAGTAGCAGCAATACGAGAGGTATTATTTAATATTTGGGTAAGAACTTGATTGAATTGTTATATTTGTGAAGAATACTGTACCAAAATGAAATATTTTGTTTTAGCTTGCTATGTATAGGGATGCTTTAGAATCCTTCGAAACTAAACTTGCCAGTAATTCTCGAACTAAAATGGATCCAGGTTATCCTCTAACTAATATTTTGTTTATTCATATATTTAATCCTATAAATTGTTCTTGCCCTTACAATGCTTTTTGCATTTTAATCCAGTTGAATGGTGGGAGATACATGGTAGTGATTGACCTCACCTAAAGAGGATAGCAATCAAGGTGCTCTCCCAGGCTACTGACGAAACTGGAGTACGTTCCAATGGTTGCACACTACTAGGACGAATTGACTCGCTTCGAAAAAGCTTCATAAACTAGTCTACGTTCATTACAACTTAAACTTTCAATAGCGACAAATAAGAAAGAAGCTTGAAGACTATGGGCCGATAGACTTTGACACAATATTTGTCACAGACACAGCAGAACAATGGGTAGTAGAAGAAGAGGAGCCAATGTTGCACAAGAGAGCGTTCCTTGAATTCGGTGAAAAAGATCTTAAAGAAGGTGATGAGCAGCGTGAAAGAGGAAGCAACCCGTCGACATATCTACAATTCGTCGGAGATGTCAGTGATATTACACCTAATGAAGAAGAGTGGGAAGAGGGTCTAAGGGAAAATGAGAGATGATTCTGAGGCCACTCAATCCCAGCCAAATTATTCACATATCGAGTCCTAACAACAAGAGGGTAGGGATGAGCACGATAATGTAGGTGAGTATGAAGGATCGACAAGCTTCGGGGATTTTGGATTATGACCACAACAAAACACTAACACTCAGGAATTTGGTATAGTCAGGTGCCTACTAATTTGGATGATTCGTTTTTAGATCGAGTCAATGAATTGTCACGCGAATTCAATCACTGGTACCAGCGTGACCAAGATGAAGAACGACGTCGTTTGTCATTTTATTTTTAGATCGTATGTTATGAATTGTATGCTTTATTGTAGTCCATGTATGATGATATACTTAATCCATGATAATTCTATGTTTATCCTTTTGTGTGATGTAAATTAAATGGTAAATAGTAGTTCATGCTGGAAAAGAACATATCAATATTCGTATATTCATGCAAAAAAATGAAAATTCTTAATGGAGTACCCTCATTTCTTATTGAATTCCTAAAAAAAAACATTTATAGTGAATTTTAATAATTTTTTCGGATTTTTTTAAGGTTTAATCCGATTGATTCAACCGATTCTCGATCCGGATTGCCGATTCGTCGATCCATATGGGTTTTTGAGATGTCCGATCCGGATCACCGATCTGCTTTTTAAACCACTGGTTTGTAGCATAGGGATAGGACGTACCTTTTCAATCCCTTCGATGGACGAACTCTTCTGCTTCAAGGTTGCAGACACAGTTAGCTCAGAAGCCCCACCACCAGGAACAAGCTTTGGGTTCTTTATTATATTTCGTGCTACAGACATGGCATCCTGCAAATTAACCATTCAATTAAACAAATGACATGAATTCTGAAAGCTTGCATATTTCACCAAATTTTAAATGGTAGTCAGGCTAAAAGTAAACGAGATAGCATAATATAATCCAGTGGATTATAGGATAGCTAGAGTCTTTTGTCATCATCACCATCCAAGGCAATGGACAGTGATAGAGAATATTGCACCGCCATTAGGTCCCAATTGTGTCACGTCTTGTTCCATAGGGTCCCACTATTTCCTCCATCACCGTCCATCATTTGTCCAATGGCAATGATTCTAATAGACAGTGAGTTCTCTATATCGTCCCTCAGATTATGGTATGTTTTTTAATAAAAGAAAAGTAGCAACAGATATCATAGATCTTCACAACATATTTTTTCACTATCTTTTAGAAACCAAAATCCAAAATCCTGTTTGTATCTTCTTTCCTTTTTGTTAAAAAAAAAAAATTTCGAACTTTTTTTTTTGACATAGTAACGGTGGGAATAGAGAACGGGATGTAATGATGAGGCATTGGTCCCCCATGCACCAATGCCACACCCCCAATCCCAATTTTCTTTTTTTGATACTGTTAACATTGCATTGAAGGAATGTTAACGTTTTAAACATTATTCTAACCAAAATTCAAAAGTCAAGGAGTCCTCTATCCAAAGCTGCTAAAACTTTAATTCCTGATATGAAACATGAGAACTGTAGGCTTATAAAAAACACACATTGGGGTCTGTTTCTTCCTTTTCCCTTTGGTGAGAATCAGATCCAGAAAAGTGAGAACCGTTGAGTTGTACAAGTGATAGTGCATATTTCAGAAGAAAACAAACCTGTAAATTCCTTTCAACTTCATTTAAAAGGTCCTTGCTAGCACCTCTTACAAGAACAGTGCAAGCCTTTGGGTCTTTGCAATTAGTGATGAAGGCGAAGAATTCGTCCCCAATCTTCTTGACCTCGAAAAGCCCAGCTCCTGTTCCAACATCTGACTCTTGTAGCTCATCTGGCCGATTTACAACCACGGCTCCACAAGCTTTGGCAATCCTGTTATTGTCAGTCTTCCTTAGCCTCCTTATGGCACTAACACCAGCCTTGCTGAGATAGTGGCACGCAAGATCGCTGAGCCCTTTCTCTGTGATAACTAGGTCAGGCTGGAACTTCAATATCTGAGCACAGAGACTCTCGATATACTCTTCTTCCATCTTCAGCAGGACACTCCTACAAGATAATTCACCAGTCAAAACATTTGGACCCAAATAGCCTACAGTTTGGTCTCCACCATTGTTTAATGCTGAAAAAATTTCAACCTGAATGGCATTCTTGTTATCAAACCTTAGATCCTCAAAAGATAATCCCATGAATTTCGGGAAACTATAATCCCTTGGGTCATGCAATTCAATAACATGATGGATGGTGGAGATAGAAGGGTACCCACATAGAGAGTATGTGTCGGTCTAGTGGCTCCCATTCTCTCTTAATCATCATATCATTTCATATTATACAGTGGAGGCCACATATATATCATTAAATTATGGCATAAATACCTTTTCCACCAAATAGAAAACATATATTGTTCACAAAAAGAAGTTTGGCTAAAATACGGTGTGAAATTGAAATTTATCTGTAACTGCAGGTCAAAACACTTCTACAAAGCAAAAGTCTACAAGTTAAAACTTGGATTTGAACAACAATCTAGGCAGTACACAAAGGCATGCCCAACAAGACCGCAAATACACTTTCCAACAGACTAGAATAATAAGTTTTATAGCGGAGATGTCAGATACCAGTCTTCTTCTTTCAACAACTCTGCATTTGTTTGATTTTCCCCTTTCTTGTATTCAAGAGGGCAATCCAGAAGAATGATGCGAGGGTTTAGTATCTTTCTTTTCATTTTGCCTGGAGAAACCACATCTTTGTTTATCATAACTCCCTTAAGAACTTTTGAGTCTTCCAACTGACCACCAGGAATCTTTTCAACTTTTATGTACTTTTTAATGTCGACTTCTTTTATGCCTTGGCCGAGATCCACACCAATAGTTGTAGTAGCACCAATGGCTAAGTCCTGAACACAGAAGAATGAAACATGATCACAGGACAAAAAGGCTGAGAAATAAAATGATAAATATACAGGACAGGAGAATGCACAACAAATCTACATGGTAGACCTAATATGCACGCTACCTATGGTTTCTTTTTTGAGAAATACAATATACTTTCAGCATTACAAAAAGTTGCACGGCTTATTCCCTTGAAAGGCAACAAATTAGTTCTGAAATTGACTAAATGAGGTTCAGATCCCCTTTGTCTACCTCTACTTTTTCTCGCCAGTGAACCATATCAAATATGAAGGAAAGAAAAAAAACACAAGTTTTGTGCATTGACTTGATATTTGGACATGTTACAAGTCCCCAAACTAAGTCAAACCATGGTTTCAACATAGAAAATAATTGACAAATAGAAATCCAAAATCACATATTTCTTGACATTTGTAAAAGATTAAGGAAGACAATCTTACAGCAATGAGGTCTCCAAATTGGCCAGTGAATTTTGTGCCGATGCAACTTTTGACTAGTTTCAGCATTGTCGCTCCTGCCGTGTGAAGGTCACAAGCCAAAATTGCATTCAGGGAATGAAAAAAAATTGCAATAAAAGGAACTAAGCTGATGATTTTTCTTTTCTTTCTTTTTTGGATGGATAACTAAAATGATGAAATTTCAGTAAATAAAAGGAATCCTACCATGTGCTTGACCAAATAGATTGTATACAATTATCATTTTTTTCTTATGACTATGAATATGATCTTTGTTTTTTTTCTTTCGGAGAACCAATATTTTTTCTTAGAAAATTTGCCTGTAAACAAACATATATCATAAAACCAAGAGAGTAAGTCCAGATACAAAAGCACAGCTACTTACGGTCATTTACATCAATGGGCACAGCGATCTTATCAAGCACTGCAATAGAATCCTCAAGGGCCTTACTGTAGGCTGCATAAGAAGCGCCAACATTGTAATAATCAGAAGCAAACCATTGCACCATTCAAGCTGCTATCTCACCAAATTTGATCTCAGCATACCTCGGCAAATGACTGTAGGATGATAGCTCTTGTCAATAAAAGCTTCTGCCACATGAAGCATCTCACCAGCTACATCAAAATTTCAGTTAATGAAGGAATAATCAATAACTGCTGACAATTCTATTTTCCATTATCACTTATAAATATATGGAATCTGCTAAGAAGCTTTATCGACAGCAAAATCCAGTTTTCCATTCTCAAGCCTCAACTATCAATATTCCTTCTTTCCTATTTAATATATGACTATACTCAACAGATTTAACTGAAAGTTTCCAAAAACAGAGTAGGAGCTGAGCTATGGAAATTGTTAGCAACATACCAAGAACAATCACTGACGTAGTCCCATCCCCTACTTCTTCATCTTGTGTGCGACTAAGTTCAATCATAGACTGTTGTTCCACAAAAGAAAAATTAACAAAAATAAACACAAAAAAGACAACTTCATATTACCATATAACACAAGTTCAAGAGCACACTTAAAACATCACAACAAGCAGAATCAGACTGCATGGGATACATTGGATTGCTTTCTTCTGATATAATGCACAAAAATGATGACCACCAAATCTTGATTTACACAGCAATGGGGCATGCACAAGTGAAATTTAAAAAAGAAAGCTTTGACAGGAACGAAAAATGGGACAAAATTGACTAGGGAAGAACAAAGGCCATCCATACCTTAGCAGCTGGGTGGGCCAAATCTAGTTCTCGCAGAATACAATTTCCGTCATTCGTTACAACAATTCCTAAACAGGTCACAAAAGTCATACAACTAAAATACCAGATTTGTAGAGTGAACAACATAAGAACTCAATTCATCAGAGAAAATGTCATCATCAAAGCAGAAGATATGGCCAATATGTACAGTACATCTGACACTGTAGATAAAGGTGCTCTCTGTAGCTATCCATGCATATAAACATTGTTCAAACACTCAGCAAGACCGAATCGGACTCACCTGCATCCCTACCAGCACCCTAACAGTTCCAAATAACCTGTAGTCAGTTAATCCGAGTCCAGGCCACCAAGTCCACACAAGTCTTGATCAAGCTTATCCAGTCTTTGAAAAAACCAGTGATTCTGGTCTGAGTCTTGAACTTGGGACTTGGACCTGCCCCAAGCCTGGGATCTATGATTTCTAACATTGTATATAATATTAATGCATTCGGATAGCTTCTGATCCTGTATTCCGTGAAATAATGAAATACAGTGAAGTGGATAATGGCTTTATGCAAGCAATGTCACCTGCTGGTGCACTTGGTATACCTTAAATCCTAACTCAATTCAGTTCACCAATTTGTTTAATTAACCAAGATACACAAAAATATTTGATCGGCAAACCTGTTCCAGTTCCTAAAGAAGCAGCAGTTCGAGGTATGGAATTAAGAGTAGGTTAGGGGTGCTTCAGTAAATAACTAAATATGATTCCTTGTTGCTGTATGCTGTTATATAGAAGGAATTTACTCCATCCTTGGAAACATCCATATGCATGTGAGAGATTTGCTACCTCATTTTACAAGAATCAAATTCTCTTATATTGCAGACAAAGCTCCTTCTTTCCAAAACATTTGTCATTTATTCAAGAGGGAAATAACAAGAGGAAGTTGTGTTTTAGTGTGATTTGAACAAAGTAAGTTGTAAAGGAGTTTGCAAAACACCATAATTTCATAAATGTAATAATACAATTAGTGTTTTGACCACCAAAAAGATTTATAGCATTTATTTACCCAAAGGAGAAAAACACATTGATAAAAGGGTGCGGTTTCTATAAGGATGCAACCTTACAATCCAATCATGGCGCACCTTAAAATTTTATCATAACATGTAATTTTGTTGTAAAAAATTCTCAGTATTATCTTAAAATCTATTTTCATACCTAATTACAAAATTTTAAATTCCAAAATTGGTTAAAATCAAGTAGATCTATAAATATATGAAAATCTTGAAATGGACGGTCTAGATAATCTGTTGCAAGATGCACTATTTCCGGGACTCAAAAACTTTTTTTTTCATATTCATACATCTCAACGTCAAGATGATCGATTAGAAGGTTTCTTCAACATTAAAACAACATTTCTAATAGATTTTTGAGGTGCATTTGTGATTCTACATTTTAAGGTTGCAACTTTATATAAACTTTTCCCTTGATAAAATTGCCATGAGAAATGTTTATATCATAAAGACTATAATCTGCCAAGCATATGTAAAGTTCATGACACCCATTTTTGCCATGTATTAGTACAGGAAACAGGATGGGGGCGTGATATTGGTTCTGGTACTTGAGGGTCGAAGGAGTTTCCGGTACATTGTTATAGAAACAGTTTCTATTGATTAGTTGGCATGTTTTCTAGAAGAGATGGTACAAGTTTCCAAGAACCTGATACACATATACTTGTATGCTCTTATTACGAGAATGTATGATTTATTGGTACTTGATGGCCAAGTAAATACATATAATTTTGAATACTAAAACCGATGGGGAAATTTATCAAAATATACTTACTTTTCCAACAGCTTAACAGTTTACCCGTTTTCAATTATTTGGACTCATGTTCATGTGTATTTTCATGGGAATTTTAAATTAGGGATTGTATACTATGAGACCATTTATTTTTGGTACAAGGAGTTCACAATCACTTTTAGCCATTGGATTATGAAATCCAATAGATGAAAGTATCACAACATTCAAGAAATTTAATTTTGGACTTTGTGCCCAAACAATGACACATCCTCAACCACCTAATTTCAAATCTAATGGTCAATAATGATTCTGACCTCCTTATATCAAAAGTAAATGGTCTCGTTGCATACATTTCCTTCAAATTAAAGGAAAATATAATACAAGTGCCATTTTAAATAGCAAATCTCTTTTGTGCGTTTTGATGAATTTCCCAACCTATATTAAGTGTTAATTGTTAAAAATAATGCATATGTCTCTCTCAATGGCTCATTGATAATCTCTCTCTCTCTCTCTCTCTCTCTCTCTCTCTCTCCTTTTAATTTTCATTTTTATAACTTCTTCTATTATTATCTATCACAACAATGGTTCTTTCTACCATGTGCCTCTTCTTTGGAGAGGGTTTTGGATTCTTATTCCCATTATTAGCAAATTATTTTTAAAATATGTTCCTAAATACATGATAAGTGTTGATTATTATGTATATAGAGTTTCTATAGAAATTGGTACGACTTGCGTTCGTATGGTTCCGTCAAAAAGCACTACCCAAAAAGAGAACCTGCATAAATATGATCTCACCAATAGCCAGAAAAGGTCATAATAAACATCACATGCTTATCTGGATCCATGCATAAGCATCACACAAATTGGGTGTTAGGTGTTGGTATTTTTATCGCCAATGTACACAATGTTGCACCTCAGAGATGCAGTTTCCCACATATTAGTCGAAAATTAACAATAAAACAGGAGAAGAAATTGTCAACATATAAAATACAAGACAACAAATCATTCTAATATCATAGAGCAACATATAAAATGATCACCAGAGAAGGTACTGCATTTAACTTCACATATCAGGGAATAAAAAAGATCAATCCAACAAGAGAAATTAAAGGACCTCCTGCAGCATCTAGTAGCATCTTCAACATGGATCGAGGACCCAAAGTTGTTCGGATGATATCAGCCACTGCCTGTGAGAGCAAAAGAATACAACAAAGTAAAAACTAGCATTTCCACAAACTTGAAAAACCATAACGAAGAGACAGGACCCATAGTTTCATCAAAATATTCCTCATTATCTGCAGACTGAGATATATCTCATCAGACATATCATGAATATTCAAAACTCACCTTAGATGCCTGGATGTTTGCATGGTGAACTTTAGTTCCAGACTCTCGTTTCAAAGAATCTTCTGCTCAAATCAATTTACAATGAAATAGAATCAGTGAACAGATAAACAATGAGAAAAATTTGCTCAAGATCACCACAAAACATCAATAAACAAAAATCCCACTTCACTTCCTAATCCCAAAGAACAGAGAGGGAGAAACTTGGGTGTCACACTTAAACCATCCAAAGTTCTCTCTGTGAAAAGAAAAACCTCGCAAGAAAAATAAATTAAGTGTGACTAGATAATAAATAGGATGAAGTAAGGATCTTACATGCGCATCTCATAAACTTATTAGAATACATATGTCAAATTTCATAGATCAAGGATTGTCCCGATAACTAGGATTCCAGTAGGAAAGTTGACATGAAAGAAACTTTATAAAGGAACAAGAATTCTAAAATAAAAAAAAAAAAGCAATAGAGGAGCCTTAAGGGTCTTTTCAAAATTCTGAATGGCTCTTAAATTAATAAGTAATGCATATCCCATCAGAATAATTCTATTTTTCAATCTAATGAGAACCATTCTTTAGCTTGCAGAAAGTAAGAAACAAGCTTAAATCTAACTCCCAAAAGTTTTAAGATCAAGCTACGAAAGTCCAAAAAACTTTCATGAAGGCATTGAGATGACACAAAAACTATTTTTAAATTAGAAAAGCAATTTCGCGAGACCATCACTAACAGTTGAACTATAGACTACCAAAAAAGGAAACCCCTAATGACCAAAATAATCAATTGATTACCGAAGAAATTAAAAAATCCATAATGACATTACAGAAAGTAAAATAAATCAGGGAGTAGGAGATTTCCAAAACTGCTAATCTTTGCCATTGACCCAAAAATAATGCATCCATGAAAAACAGAATTTATTTTCTTCTTTATTTCTTAAACGTGATGGAAGAGATCGTTTTCCACCGCACAACTCAAGAAAAAAAAAACAAAAAAACTCATGAAATCGTCCTTCTAAAATTCTCCATTACTGAAAAACTAATTCTTAATAAGCTAGATCAGTTTCCATGTTTATCGACCCAGTAACCAAATCCTAGATTGTATAATGAATCAAAGCAATTACTACTAGGGCTCAAAACACAAAAGAAAAACACATGGCAGAGAGATTGAGCTATTCATCCCAGCCAACAATGGCATCGTTTTGAAGAATCAACTGAAGAGAGAGGAGCATATCAAACATCAAAATAGAGGCAAATCTGTGAGATTCAGACGATATGGACTTACTGAGAACAAGTACTGGTGCGTGCATCGTGGATAGAGAAAGTGAAGAGCAGACCAACTAGGGTTTTGGGGGTTTTAGAGGGAGAGAAAAATCGACAAAGAAGAAGAGGGAGAAAGAGAGGGAAAGAGGGTAGTTTCAGAAAAGCCGACCCTTATATTTTCTCACTTCTTCCGGGTTCTTCTGCAATTGAAAATAGTTTCAAACGGAAGATTTCGGCCTATTAGGTTTTAAAAACTTTCTCATGGTAATAGTTTTTTAAAAAGGAAGAAGTTTACATAGAGCCGAGGTTCTAAACAATCAATTTAGAATACACCATAAAAAGTTCACTAGAAAAAGTTTTTAATGCCCAAATATCCTCAAATTGATCATCTAGATGTCAAGATGCATACACATGGCAAAAAGAATTGATTTAGTGCATCTTACAATATATTTTTGGATCGTCAATTTTTAAGATTTTTAAGTTTTCATAGATCTGCATGATCTACACTATTTTTTAAGCTGTAGATTTTATAATTAAAGATAAAAATATATTTTAAAGCTATCACAAAGATTTTCGGTATTAAAGCTATATTTCTCGATACTATTTGAAGGTAGGCTTTACTTTGATTATTTAGATCCTCGGCTCTATACAAACTGCACCCTTTTAAAAAGGTCCCGTTCCGGCCGAGCCATATGTAGAAATGCACCCCTATTAATAAATTTATTTTAAGGATATTTAATCTAAGATCATGAATATGAAATAATAAATATATTTTAAAAATTATAAATAATAATTCTAGTAAGAAAAAATTTGAAGAGTTAGTTTCTATTGTTTTTAGATGGAATACCTACTTACATCCATCTTTAAGATCGATGCTTTACGCTTTTTGGACTGTATGTGTAAAAATGCAGCCCAATTCCTATGAAACCATTTTCTTTTAAAAAAAGCTACAGTTTTGGTGAGAGCCGACTCATCTATTACCATTCGGTCCCTTGTCTATCTAATGTCCATATCTAAGATGGATGCAACAAAATGTAACATCCACTAAAAATGGTAAAAAAAAAAGTAACATCCATTCAAAGTTAAAATGGATAGTGAAGAAAGGGGTCAAGAAAATAACATTTATATATTTTGAAATATATAAATTCTATAATTTAGATCATTGTCAAGGTTGAAATTATTGAACTCTAAAATTTTGGATCGAAAATACATTTTAGAAATATATTTTTTAGGGAGACCACACACGAATAATATGAGTTGCCCAATTCACCAAACATTTATTCTTTAAAAAAAATCTAACTCTATTAACCTTTTTACTTATTATTTTTTACCCAAACAAAAACTAAAAAGGAGAAGTATTTGGTGCGTCCAAGCCCGCACCTATTACCATGCGAGCTTAGAGATCTACACCATCCACCAAAGAAGTGTAGATCTTCATCATAAATAATAGTTCTCCAAATAAAATGTAAAATCAATGGTTCAAATATTTTATCCAAAAAATATCATTTATAATTTTAAAAAATTATTTATTTTTACAGATTAATAATCTACATGTTAATGATTGTACATTCCCTAAAAATTAAGATTAAATTCTATTTCAAAATAAATTATTAATGGGCCGATATTTTTACATATGAGTCCGTTGACTCATAGAAACTGTGTCTAAACTAAAACGATACCTTTGTCTGTCTACTCTGTGCAAACTATTCACGCGAGGGCCCGGTTTCTATGCGGCCAATCCCGCATATGTAGAAATGCGGGCCTATTAATAAATCTATTTTTGAGATGGATTTTTTTACTTAATTTTTAAGGACATGTAATATCTAACATGGAGATCATGAATATGAAAAAATAAGTAAAATTTAACTATAAATAATAATTATAGCAATAAAACATTTGGACCGTTAGTTTCCACTGTATTTAGATGGAAGACCTACTTACATCCATCTTTAAGATGGATGATTTACACCTTTTGGACCGCATATGTAATCATGCCGTCCAGCCCGCATGCAACAATTTTCCTTCATGCAATAGCCATGAACCAATGCTCCTTAACTTTCGTGTTGCTAATTGCATTGTTCATTTTGACATTGAACATGGACTTACGGATGAAGAAATACGTCGTATGCAAAGAGATGTTCAGAGGAGAGATAGAAGTGTTTTTTAGCTTTTGTTTGGGCTAAAAAGAGCACAAGATAAATTAGCTTCAAAGTCAGAAGATATATATTTTTTAAAAAAAACCTATACCACTATAAAAAATTTAAAACTCTAGGTCTATAGGAAATGGTACACCAATAGGGTTGCCAATGGTAAGGGCCCGGCCCGAGGTTTGGGACAGCCCGGAATTGTTGCAGGTTGGCCCTGCAAGGCCCAATCCCGGAATAAGCTTGCCAACAGCCTGGCCCGATAAGCCCGGAAAAGTGTATAGAGGCATGTGCCTGGACCAGTAGGCTCGAAAATTTGATATCCTAGAATTGAAATATGCATAAAAAAACATTATTGATTCATACCTAAATTACTTTTAGCATGATTAATAAGTACTTGCTTTCTGATTTTCCCATTTAAAAATTGGTCTTTGCTTCTCACTGACAAAGAAAAGGCCTTTGAAAGGGTGTGAATTCTTCCATTTAGGGCGAGAATGATAGAATTACTAAATGGTTTCCACATAGAATCAATAAAACATGGATCTTCCTCATGGTTGGTGTGCAGGTAAGCAACTATAGCAATCCCATAGAGGAATTTCTCATGTTTCTTCTTTCTGTTTTATTCTTAGGCATCTCTTACATTACAAGTCCATGGTTGAAGGTGTAATCTGTATTTAACTGGTTTACCCAATTGGAGGCTGTTTATCTTTTCAAATTCTCCCATGTGATTGCTTACTATCATTGTGTGAACTCGAGCATGGGAAGAAGCTTTGGGTGGAGTTGGAAAATAATTATTAGGCTCTTGGGAACCTTAAGTTTAATTGATCTTTTAATTCCCAATGAAAGTTGGGAATTGTTTTGATTGGGCTTGGATTAGATTTTTGGGAAAATTACAAAACCCTCCCTCAAGTATACTATCCATGCAACTTACCTCCAAGCTAATTTTTTCTCTCACTTTTTTCCCACAACCATCTTTTCTCGCAAAAACCGCCCAATCCAAAACAAAAGAAAAAAAAGACTAAACTATCCCCCTCTCTCTCCTCATGACTTTTACCCACGACTCTCTCCCCATGCCCTCCGGCAGTCCATTTAAATGCTCCGGCAATGAAGATACGCGCTCCGGCAATACAATGACTCACTCGGGCAGTGCATCTTCTGGAGCCATAGCGCTCCAGCGGTTGAATAGGTCGCTCCGCAATGAAGATACATGCTCCGACAGTACGCATTCTGGTGCCATATCGCTTCGGCGGTTGAATAGTTCGCTCTGGCAATAAAGACAAGCACTCTGATAGTACAAATACGCGCTTCGGCAGTACACCTTCTGGAGCCACATCGCTTTGACGGTTGAATTGGTCGCTCCGGCAATACGCTACTTGGGAGGGGCATTTTCCGTAGGGAAGGGCATTTTCATTAAAAAAAAAAACTTTTTACCTTGGGGAGGTTTTTGTGAGGAAAGGTGAATGTGGGGAAAAAAGTTAGAGGAAATATTAGCTAGGGGGTAAGTTGCATAGTTAATAAACTTCAGGGGGTTTTTATAATATTTTCTAGATGTTTTGGAATTAATACATAAAATATATTCTTAGCAAAATTCCTCCAAATTTCAGCTGAGTTTTTCAAATTGAATTCACTTTTTTGCGAGAGAGGAGTTTTTAGAGAGAGAATGGGATATTGGCTCTTTAGAGAGAGAGTTTTTAGAGATAAAAAGAGAAATAGTGAAAGAGATATTGGGTTCTTAGAGAAAGATAAATATTTGATTTTTAGAGAAAAAAGAGTGGGTTTTAAAGAGAAATTAGATGTTTAGAGCGATAGATTTGATTTTTAGAGAGAGAAATAGTGGGTTTTCGATAGATATTAGGTTTTCAGAGAAAGATTGAGTTTCAAGAGAGATTTTTTAGAGAGAGAAAGAGAAATGATATTTTTCTTTAAAATTAGGGAAATTTTAGGGAAGTTTTTCGAAGTTGCATAAGAGAGAGATTATTCTTTAAAATTAGGGAAATTTTTCGAAGTTGCATAAAAGATTAGCCATTTAAC